GACTACTGCCTTCTCTAATAAATAGAAAAGGGCGTGGTATCGACGTATATGACAATATGAATTATAAACAATAACCGAGAGAGAGAGAGAGAGAGAGAGAGAGAGAGAGAGAGAGAGAGAGAGAGAGAGAGAGAGGGGGGGGGAGGGAGAGTGTGTGTGTATGTATGCGGGCGTGCGTATGTGTATTCTTAGAACGGAAATAGGAGACAACAATGACAGAAAGAAGTGCCATTACAAAGTGAAAGCCAATAAAGGAATGAGAAAATGAAAAACTATTAACATATGGAAGAAAATGGGGGGAAAAGACAGAGGGATACAAAAAAATTGAAGTGAAACAAAAAATAGATGAAGGTACATTAAGCAACGATCCCTGAGGTTCCATTGAAACTTTTCATGCGTATGCTATCAACATAGTTAAGACGACAAAGGATCAAGGAGGGAATATAATACAGCAATTCTAAATCATGTTATCATGAGGAATTTTAGGAATTAGTTATTTCAAAGACAAAAATAATAAATATGTCTGAGACAAAATATACTAATTTGCAAATTTGCAGGACATCAGGAGCCTCTCTTGGCAGTAGTGAAAAGTTGCAAACTAGCTTTTTTTTCGGGAATCTTTTGAGACATGATTCCATTGCAACGAGTGTGCTTCAAGGAACATGTGGGGTTGTGGGTAAATTGAAGAAGAGGAGGGCATAGAAGAACCTGGAATGAGAAATCAAGAAATGGACAGGACTAAGTTATCATACACTAATTCATCAAGCGGAAGACATAGAAAGATGGTGTGTTTTATGTGCTAGTGCTTCCACCTATACATGTCCACGACCCTAAGGGTTATGTTATGTTGTCACGAGGCAAATGAATTCCTGCTTTTCCTTCTGTATGGCTTTTAATAATAAAAGTGAAGAAAAAGAAGAAGAAGTAACAGAAGGTGGAAAAAAGAAGAAAGGAAATGAAGAAAATTAAGAATTAGGAGGAGAAGGATGAAAAGGAAGACGAGAAGGAGAAGAATAAGGAGGAGGAGGAAAAGAAGAAGAAGAAGAAACACTGTGTTTGGCCTAGTTTTTATTTTTCCTTCCCACTTGTAACAATATCAAAATATTTCTTCTTTCTGTTTAAAATGTATTTCCATAACTCTCTTCTAATTTCCTGTCTCTCCACAACCTCTGTTATTGACTGCACCAACAGTAGGGGTTGTGTATACATAATTTAAAAAAAAAGTAAAGGAATATTTTCCCCGCCTTCAGCCATCCTGGGCATATAGGGCTAGACCTATATTTTACAGACTGATGAGCACTCGGTGGGTGATGTGGTCAGCATCATTCAGTTCATTTATACACCTGACGACTTTACCTGATACCTTTTTTTTTTGTAACATTAAAAAAAAAATTTAAAAAAAAAAAAGTATACAAAAATCTCGCTCCACAAGGTTCTGAACCCATAATCTTCAGATCCACAGGTGAGTATCTAGCCGCTACACCATGGCAGCTCCCTTAAGTGTATATAACATTTGTTAATTCTCATGTTTATATTTCTTTAGATGTCAATAATATTTTATCTCTTTGCAGGTAGTTTTGTCCATTTCTATTCTGCTTTGGATTTATATTTCACTTCTGCCATCATCTGTTAATACATGTTCAAGACAGGAGCAACATATTATGTGTTCTAATATTTTCCTGTTTACTGTGATGTTAATACATGTCCAAGAAAGGAGCAACTTATTATGTGTTCTAATATTTTCCTGTTTACTGTGATGTTAATACATGTCCAAGAGAGGAGCAACTTATTATTTGTTCTAATATTTTCCTGTTTACTGTGATGTTAATACATGTCCAAGACAGGAGCAACTTATTATGTGTTCTAATATCTCCTCGGTTACTGTGATGTTAATACATGTCCAAGACAGGAGCAACTTATTATGTGTTCTAATATCTCCCAGTTTACTGTGATGTTAATACATGTCCAAGACAGGAGCAACTTATTATGTGTTCTAATATCTCCCTGTTTACTGTGATGTTGATACATGTCCAAGATAGGAGCAACTTATTATGTATTCTAATTTCTCCCTGTTTACTGTGATGTTAATACATGTTCAAGATAGGAGCAACTTATTATGTGTTCTAATATCTCCCTGTTTACTGTGATGTTAATACATGTCCAAGATAGGAGCAACTTATTATGTGTTCTAATTTCTCCTCGGTTACTGTGATGTTAATACATGTCCAAGAAAGGAGCAACTTATTATGTGTTCTAATATCTCCTCGGTTACTGTGATGTTACTACTGATGTCTCCTCTCGATTGTTAATTATCACTGTGCAACTCTTCCCCACTTAAATCCAGTCCACTGTACAAGTCATCCATGCAGATGAAAGCAATAGCTAATATCATGTGTGATGGGCAAGCAATATGAGAATTAGTTAGCACCAAGAGCGCTGAAACTTAGAATCTCGGGACACTTAAACACCCCCCCCCCCTCCTCCCCCATTTACTGAAAGGTTGCACAGTTCTTCAATCTCATTCTCTCAAATAACTTCACTGGCAAGTTGAATCAAGACCTCTGGAGATGAGTTCAGTGGCAGTGGATGAGGAGGGCCTCTCAGTCAGTACAATTACATGTATCAATCTTATTTAAGTTTCACACATAATAAAACATTATTTGAGACAAAACACTGATATTTTATAATGGTTTATCATTTTGAAATTTTTTTACAGTTATAATTTCAAGTAACAAATAGTTAAAAACATGTTCATTAAAAAAACAAAAACAGTCATTCTTGTAGAACATTCTACCAAAATAAAAACAGAATAACACTTTTACTTTGTCAACACAGGTTTTCTGTGGCAGTTGTGTTCAGTTATATTTAAAAAATGTAAAATTTCATTAAAAAAAATTGAATGAACAAATTATACATGTAAGAAGCTTAGGAAAGGAGAAGTCACACACAGATTCAAAAACTTAAGCTAAAGTCTTTATCAGGGAACACGACAAGAAAACTTGGAAAACTGAAAGAAAGCAAACAAGAAATCCACATGATGAATAACAAACTAGTACAGATACTTGTAGCTAACTGTTCTAGTTTTATATACAGGTAAACACTTTGGTTGAAATGTTTGTAACTGTGTGCGCATGCAAACTCAAGTGGAAAGTTCTGGTTGTTTGTCCCAGAATTTGAGTATTGCATGCACATCCATTTTACAGATCTAACTTGTACGCACGTTACTGGTTCCTCGCCTCTCAGGCAGAAGAAAACCCTGATTAGTCAACTCTTACGACATGGTTGTTAGGGAAGCAGTGGGTCTATTCTTCTTTTCCTCCATAATGGGGTCCCAAAACCCACACACATATAATGTGTTATAGGGGTTCCCTAACCTGGGGCTTAAACTCCTCCAGCCCCCCTAAGTCCCCCCCCCCCCCCCCCCATAAATTGTTTAAGAGGGCTAAGCTGCTTCCCCAACCATGTGTAGAAGTGATCAGTTTAAATATCTCTTTATACATATCATGGTATTTCCAACGTATTTTTATATTTGTTTACATTAAACATGTTCTTGGGTTATCTTCCTCTATCTCTCTCTCCACAAATCTTACCAGCTGTCACAACAGGTTCCAGTGTTATTTTCATGTGGGTTCCTGGGCCCTTTTCTTTTTAACTCTTTGAGTCCCAAGGAACGCATCATACGTTCATAGGTTCCTACCTAGAAGCCCAATGAACGCATGATGCGCCGATTTTATTACTTTCTTTACTACCCCTAGGCCTGTGATGCTAAACCCCCTGGGACTCAAAGAGTTAAGGGGGGAAAAAAAACACACAGACATACCCATCTCCAACAAACATCATAAAAGCTGACTAATTAGGAGTCTGCTCAAATCAGGTGTGTTGGGCTGAGAGGTAGCCTAGCTATAAACCACAACACTATACAGGGAAAATGCAGAAGAAGAAGAATTATTATATATTTATCATTAAGTACTTATTTTAATAAGGCTTGGATCCAATGAGATCCTCCCACCTAGACAAGTGTACGCAGGCCTCCAGTCGATCTCCATGACTTCTTCATGTCCACTTCCTGGATGTGTTCATTCATTCTTCTGTATATGCTAGACAGCAGTGACACCTCTTCTCAAATTCCATAAACACTGTAACAAAACCTTTAAGCAAAGGTGCTAGTTTGTTTTTAAAGTGATCAATTTCCTCATACAAGAGGACTATTGGAACAGCCTGTGCATAAGCAAACAATGTCATTTACTAGCTTCTCCTTGGCAACATGGTGGTTGCTTCATAAAAAACACTGTGTGGAACCAACAAACAATATCCAACATTATGCTGTTTGTTTGGGAATAATATCAAATAATATCTTAATGCAACAAATAGATAACTGTATAGATTTGAGATTATGTGTATGTCAAGCCTAAATATCAAAGATTCAACAAAATTGGTTAAAAGGTTAATAAAATAAACACACTAAGGTAGCCATTCTGTTGTCAAAACACACATTGCCTTTATCAGTTTCTCCGCACATGGTATACATTTTTTAACTTCTGTGCTACACTTTTTTTTATAAAACAACAACACACTGGAATTAGAAGAGCTGAAGTACAACAAAACAAGGTAAAATGCCTTTTTTTCCATGTCATGGTTGGACTCTGGAAACACAGTCCTAGGCTCAGATTATGCAAGGCCTAAGTGGTCACAGAAGTAGTCATTTTCTTGAAGCTTCAGAGATGAGTTTTCAGAAGAATGCTGGGTGGCCAAAATGAGTAATCCAGATGTTTTGGCAGAAGTGAGGGCCCAAAAACAGCATATCACAAGCATCAGATGTTTTGACAGAAGTGAGGGCCCCAAAACAACAAATTACAAGCATCAGATGTTTTGACAGAAGTGAAGAGATTACAGTAAAATCATGTAGTTAGTGATAAACAGGCACAAACAACCGTACTAGGACACAACCTCAGGCCTCAGATTCTGGCTGTAAAATGTGAATTCTTGTTTAGTGAATGTTTTCAGATCTTCCTAAAGATGACACATTTGTTGTTGGCTGGCATATCTACCTGTTTACAAAAGATAAAACAAGAAACAAATTATCAGGAATATTTTTAGGTTTTCATATGAAATATATACACCACATCCTAGCCAGCTGTCAATGGGAAATAACGAATTTAGGAAGCTACTGAATCAATGATAAGAAGAAAGAAAGAAAGAAAGAAAGAAAGAAATAGGAAGAAAGAAAGAAAGAAAGAAAGAAAAAGAAAGAGAGAGAGAGAGAGAGAGAGAGAGGAGGGAGGGAGGGAGGGAGGGAGGGAGAGAGAGAGAGAGAGAGAGAGAGAGAGAGAGAGAGAGAGAGAGGGAGGGAGGGAGGGAGGGAGGGAGGGAGGGAGGGAGGGAGGGAGGGAGGGAGGGAGGGAGGGAGGGAGGGAGGGAGGGAGGGAGGGAGGGAGGGAGGGAGGGAGGGAGGGAGGGAGGGAGGGAGGGAGGGAGGGAGGGAGGGAGGGAGGGAGGGAGAGAGAGGAGGAGAGAGAGAGAGAGAGAGAGAGAGAGAGGAGAGAGAGAGAGAGAGAGAGAGAGGAGAGAGAGAGAGGGAGAGAGAGAGAGAGAGAGAGAGAGAGAGAGAGAGAGAGAGAGAGAGAGAGAGAGAGAGAGAGAGAGAGAGAGAGAGAGAGAGAGAGAGGAGAGAGAGAGAGAGAGAGAGAGAGAGAGACAAATTTGAAAAAGCTTGAAAAGCAGAATGGTTAAGTGCACTACAAAACTATAGGTATCCATAGGATGTAGTATTGTTTCAGACTTCTCAAGTGTGTGTTCTGGAGACCCATATTTGGGGCTGAGTTACTGAGAGAGAGAGAGTGACTACTATATAAGATTATTTTCTATGACACACTGTGATAGAATAAAACACATGATAACAAGCCTGAGACACACTGTGATAGAATAAAACACATGATAACAAGCCTGAGACACACGGAAGTGAGGCTGTGAAACATGGTAAGAAGACAGGCACATGCTAAAAAGCGTGAGATGCATAGTAACAAGATGGAGACATGCGATACTGAGACTGTAAAACAAGTAAGAATACTGAGATATATGATACTGAGACTAACACAGTAAAAATACTGAGACGTGATATTGAGACTGTAACACAAGAGGTTTGAAGGTTTTAAACAAAGGATTAACATCATGGCACACGGGTAGTAACCCATAAGTGCTCCCTCCTTCTTCTAACACAAATCTGAGTCTGAAGAAGTTGAGCACAGTGCACAGGGTCTGTAGCACCAGATAGGGTCCTGAAATACTTTGGGTAGATTTTTAACTCCAAATTTTGCTTGGGCAGCGCCGTTAGGCTACTCTTTTAAATTTCCAACTGCCAAGGGATTTTTTACGTGTGTAACAATGCACAAGGGCGTCCGATCTCACTACCCAGAGACCAGGAGGAGTTACTAGAAGTCCAAGTTCACGTGAAAAAATCCCAGCCACTGCCTAGGATTAAACCCGGAACCTCTAGAACTCGAGGCGGACACCATGCCTCGAGACCATGCGGCACTGAAATATGTGGTTATAAGAATAGAAAATATGGTAATGCAAGTGAAATTACCATTTATTCACCATACTGATGGCTGGAACTCTATTGTGATAACATTTATTAACCTAAGAAAGAAGACTGCTTCCACGTGTGTGTTACAGGGCCCTGGGGGAAACAAGAACAAACCTACTGCCTTCCCAGCATGCATGCGGTAAGAGTCGAATAACTAAGGGGAATTCCTTCAAAGCCAGAGTGCATCTGGCCTATCCCCCAACCCCCAAACAAGAAATGGGGCTAACAGAACCCATGGAGGAAAGTTTAAAACAAATAATTTTGTAAACACCTACCATTTTCTCATACACTAAGTCATTCTGCTTGGCAAGCTGTTTCAGATCACAAATATCCCTGACACCCCATGTTGGATTCCTGTAAACGAGAAAAATATTATCTTAGATTGTCTTTACTCTTAAACTCATCTCCTTCAGCAGACCAACATGTGTAGTTGAACATCAATGAGCAAGAACATGTGTAGTGAACATCAATGAGCAAAAACATGTGTAGTGAACATCAATGAGCAAGAACATGTGTAGTGAACATCATTGAGCAAGAACATGTGTAGCAAACATCAATGAGCAAGAACATGTGTAGTGAACATCAATGAGCAAGAACATGTGTAATGAACATCAATGAGCAAGAACGACATGTGTAGTGAACATCAATGAGCAAGAACAACATGTGTAGTGAACATCAATGAGCAAGAACATTTGTAGTGAACATCAATGAGCAAGAACATGTGTGGTGAACATCAATGAGCAAGAACATGTGTGGTGAACACCAATGAGCAAGAACATGTGTAGTGAACATCAATGAGCAAGAACATGTGTAGTGAACATCATTGAGCAAGAACATGTGTGGTGAACATCAATGAGCAAGAACATGTGTAGTGAACATCAATGAGCAAGAACATGTGTAATGAACATCAATGAGCAAGAACATGTGTAGTAAACATCAATGCGCAAGAATGACATGTGTAGTGAACATCAATGAGCAAGAACATGTGTAGTAAACATTAATGAGCAAGAACATGTGTAGTGAACATCATTGAGCAAGAACATGTGTGGTGAACATCAATGAGCAAGAACGACATGTGTAGTGAACATCAATGAGCAAGAATGACATGTGTAGTGAACATCATTGAGCAAGAACATGTGTAGTGAACATCAATGAGCAAGAACATGTGTAGTGAACATCAATGAGCAAGAAAGACATGTGTAGTGAACATCAATGAGCAAGAACATGTGTAGTGAACATCAATGAGCAAGAACATGTGTAGTGAACATCAATGAGCAAGAACAACATGTGTAGTGAACATCAATGAGCAAGAACATGTGTAGTGAACATCAATGAGCAAGAACATGTGTAGTGAACATCAATGAGCAAGAACATGTGTAGTGAACATCAATGAGCAAGAACAACATGTGTGGTGAACATCAATGAGCAAGAACAACATGTGTAGTGAACATCAATGAGCAAGAATATGTGTAGTGAACATCAATGAGCAAGAATGACATGTGTAGTGAACATCATTGAGCAAGAACATGTGTAGTGAACATCAATGAGCAAGAACATGTGTAGTAAACATCAATGCGCAAGAACGACATGTGTAATGAACATCAATGAGCAAGAACATGTGTAGTAAACATCAATGAGCAAGAACATGTGTAGTGAACATCATTGAGCAAGAACATGTGTGGTGAACATCAATGAGCAAGAACGACATGTGTGGTGAACATCAATGAGCAAGAATGACATGTGTAGTGAACATCAATGAGCAAGAACATGTGTAGTGAACATCAATGAGCAAGAAAGACATGTGTAGTGAACATCAATGAGCAAGAACATGTGTAGTGAACATCAATGAGCAAGAACATGTGTAGTGAACATCAATGAGCAAGAACATGTGTAGTGAACATCAATGAGCAAGAACGACATGTGTGGTGAACATCAATGAGCAAGAACATGTGTAGTGAACATCAATGAGCAAGAACAACATGTGTAGTGAACATCAATGAGCAAGAACAACATGTGTAGTGAACATCAATGAGCAAGAACAACATGTGTAGTGAACATCAATGAGCAAGAACAACATGTGTAGTGAACATCAATGAGCAAGAACAACATGTGTAGTGAACATCAATGAGCAAGAACATGTGTAGTGAACATCAATGAGCAAGAACAACATGTGTAGTGAACGTCAATGAGCAAGAACAACATGTGTAGTGAACATCAATGAGCAAGAACGACATGTGTGGTGAACATCAATGAGCAAGAATGACATGTGTAGTGAACATCAATGAGCAAGAACATGTGTAGTGAACATCAATGAGCAAGAACAACATGTGTAGTGAACATCAATGAGCAAGAACATGTGTAGTGAACATCAATGAGCAAGAACATGTTTAGTGAACATCAATGAGCAAGAACAACATGTTTAGTGAACATCAATGAGCAAGAACATGTGTAGTGAACATCAATGAGCAAGAAAGACATGTGTAGTGAACATCAATGAGCAAGAACAACATGTGTAGTGATCATCAATGAGCAAGAACATGTGTAGTGAACATCAATGAGCAAGAAAGACATGTGTACTAAATTTCAATTAGCAAGAATATGTGAAGTGTACATTAATGATTTTTTTTTAAACAAATAGGACATAAACAATAGATTGGGCAATCTGTTGATATTTTGTCACCTCAATAGTAAAAATATAGAAGAGGACTGGGGATAAAGGTGATTCCTGGGGCAATCCCCTCTTTATATTTTTTAACTAAGAGACCCGTCTTCCACATCTGAAAATGACTTTCTCTTGAAGAGTGCTGGTACTGTTAATTTAATGAGTGTTGGGGAAATGTTGATTTCAAAGGGCACTTTGCTGTATGCAAAAATGCCATTCTCCAACAAAATTAAACACATCACACTTGATGTTTACACAGGAGGGTCTCAGCACAATGCACGTAGCTCGGCCAGGATCCTGAAGACAGCAAAACCACAGAAAAATCTCTCCATGTTAGTAAAAAAAAATCCAACCTAATCAATTTGTGTGGTAAACGACAGTGGCCTCGTCACCATCTTGTATGACATCCATAAAAATGTTATAATCAGCTAATGTAAGGAGCCAAGAAACATGCATAATGTGTCAACAAACTAACGTTTGAAAAGAAAAAAAAAACAGTAAAGTCCCTTTACAAGCTGGTGGCACATAAGTCATAACTTATAGACAAATTGGACCTATTTGTTAATGCAGTTTTCATATAAGGATGGTGGTCTACCATTTCTCTGCCTGAGCTACTAAGTTTAGTGCTTGGTGCAGCCCTGTGAGCTGTTTTTTTCCTGTGGAATGCCTTTCATTTGTGCAGCAGTTGTTTCGTGGTATTAAATATGGCCAGTCTACGTGTGACTTGGTGAAATACCTTATGTAATAATTCTACATGTGTATAGTAACCAACTTATCGTGCTCGATTACTTCCATCAATGACAAACTGAATTTCTGGTTATGATTGTTGGCTTTGGCACCTTTAGTAACCAGAATTTACTGCGTGCACATATTTCTGGATTGTTCCAGGACTAGCTATTTGTTCACTAGTTTTTCAAATGCGACAGTGAGGGACATTTCATTTGATTCGCGAACTGGCACAGGAACGGAGCAAATATGGGGAAAACCCAATTGCTATGATGTTGAAACACTGACTAAGACTGGACCTAAATTTGTTGTGTAGTCAACATTATATTAGCCCCTTAACTTCCCAGGACTTTACCTGCTACCCACTTAAGGCAGATTTGAACCCACAATTTTTAGATCCGCAGGTAAGCGTTTAACCGCTGCACCATAGTGGCCCCCAAACTAAAATAAATCTAAGTTGGAAAAAAATTTCGGGACAATTTTATTCACTTGGTGCATCAAGGCATATGGTGGACCACATCTATAAAGACTACTTTACACTTGGTGGTAATGTTGGTAATATCATGCTGGCCCCATTTACTAATTAACTGCATACTATATTCAAGAATTAGGAAAAACCCACACAAATACACAAAAATATAATTTACTTCTGAACTTACTGTGAACGCAAACTGGCATCAAAGTGAACATTACTTTCAGGTGTTAGGACACCATCAATTCTAAATGGCTGAAATATTTAAAAACAATAGTCAGTTCATCGCGGCTACAAGTGTTTAAAAAAAGAAAAAGAAAGGTGAGAACTATGTATGAAGATCAAACAGAACAGGAATGAGTGTATGAGGAATAGAGTGTGTATGATTTAGGTGAGAGTAGGAAGCTAAAAATGGTTAATGTAATCACAGTAAAAGCAACAGATACACACACATAAAAACCTTCAGCAGACATATATATTTATATATATATAATTTTCAGAATTCTACTATAAAGAAAAGTGAATGAATAAGCAAGATCATGGGATCAAATAGCTATTAATTTCTTTCCAAATGTCATCAATCAATCAGGTGCAGATTCCATAATAAAGGTTGACTGCAACTGATCTCCTCCATACCTGTCTCTTGTCTTGGTAGTACTCTCTCAGACTGCTATTCATCAATATTGTCCTTCCATTTGAATAGTTTACTACCTCTTGCCCCCGTTCTACACTTTGTACATAATAAGAGTCATTAATTCATAAAAAAGCAGCAGACTTACTCCATACATAAACAGAACTCCATGGGGCTTTAGTAGATAACCTGCAGTTTTGAACAAGCCCTGCAGAATATGACGTTTTCATCAAATAATTGTTTACAAACAGTTTGGTTATTCAGAGCAACAACTGTGAGGAAATATATATCAGGTACAATCTGACACTGAGGACATATACAAATACACTTTAACATGCTAAAAAAGCCCTACTGGCTGGGTTGGAAAAGCTTCAGAAAGTAGACTGACTGAATATTTAATCTACTAATCATACAATCATTATTAATGTTTCCATGTCAATGAATCTAGAATAATTACTTAGGTTTTCACAGCAATAAATCTAGATTTTTTTTTTTTTGATTATATGGCAATGAGCCTAGAAGGATAACTAGTTTCCATGGAAATTATTCAAGAATCCTTAATTTGTCCAAGTCAAATGAATTAGAATGTTATTAAAATTTTCACAGATATGCAGTTATAATTATTGCTGTTTTAACAGCAATGACTATATAAGCACAACTAATATTGCCATGCAATGAATCACTGCTCCATTTTTGATTTTTTTTGGGTCAAATCCCCAATCGATCTTCACTGGTATCAACAAGAGGAGTTATCTAAATCCCATGGTACTGCAGAAGCAGTCTAACAAATATCTGATTCAATGTATTAAAATCATAAAATTTGCCACTGCAAAGATGACCTCTTCTCTCTACAAACTCTTTAGGGAAGGGACACAACTTGGACCTTCATTACATGAATTCTTTCAGTCCCAGAAGATTTCCAAAGCAGATGCCCCAAGGAGTTTTTAAAATCAGTAGTGTAAATCCTTTATAGGGCATTGTTGAACAAACCTCAGCAATTTTTTTTTACTGTTGCTTGTTAGGTTATCAGTGGGTCAATTCATTGTTAACCCCCAAATTGTTACCCTTGGAATCCACATGAGGACAATACACTTCTAGCACCACATTTTAATAGACAATTAGCAATGTGGTCAAAATCAGGTCTGCCCCCTTTACTTCCCAGAACAGTTTCTGGTATATATTTCAGGCTAGGTTGAACTGTGAACCCCAGTCAAAGTTTAAAACATTTTTATCTCGACAAAGATGTGAACATATGACCAGACATATTTAACAGATTGATGCACCAATGGATGAATCCTCACGTAATGATAATAATCCACACTGAACTATACTGACCTAAACAAGGCGACCCATGCAGCAAAACTGAATGCAAACATACAAAACTTGAAAAAATTGAAAGAGTATAAGAGACGATATTCTTTTAAAGTAATTTCTGAAGTAAAATGGTGGATATGTATAGAATATATGTATACTGTCTACTTATATTACACATCAAAAGGACAGAGAAATTAAAAAAAAAAAAGTTGACAAAAAAAAAGTTGGTTAATCTTAGACTTTTGTAGTGATCACATGTTTAATCTTTTGACTTCGATTGGTGGGATGCACACTGAGACAATGTGATTTGTGTACTTCAGTTGAAAGGATTCATATTTCCTGCGTCATTAAACTTATTCATTCATCCATTGTCCTATTGAGCCATTATGTGTCACACAGAGTTTACAGTCTCCATAGCTTCTGTTCTGCACAATCAATTCAATTTCATTGATGGAATACAGTCCAGCATCTTTGGCTTCTCTTATCAACATTCACTTTAGGGTTTCTCTTGGACGTCCTCTTTTCCTCAATCCCTTTATTTCCAATTCCAGTGCCTGTTTTGTGATTCTCTATTAATTTATCCTCAGAATGTGACCAACATAGTGCCACATTTTCTGTCTTATAACTGTTGATACTAGCGGTTGACCAAACACTTCTCTTATTTCTTCACTCTTCTTAAATTCATCCCATTTAATGTATATCATTTTCCACGGGCATTATTTTTCTACTCATTTATCAGAATGGCATTCTTTCCTGCAAGTTTGTGTAGCAAATAGTTTTTCACAGGTTGAGGCAGCTGATCCACATGCAAACCTCTTCCTCCCTAATTCAGTCTTGGGAATGGCAATGGTTGTGATGCTGTATTTTATGCTTGATGACAACTATAGTGACACACATGACAAGATACAGGGAAATATTGCCATGCAATAAATTGTGCAATAAAGTGTTTCAGTCCTCATTATTTAAATAACAAATATGTCTGATATTTAATTAGGAAAATAACTGATCAGTTACCAGTGAAGTTTCCCAGGGTGATATATGAACCATATTTGAATTCAGGATCAAATCATAGGACTCTGGTTTCATGTTCTGATTGGCCCATTTCTGAATTGGTTTTGTGATGTCTATCACCATTGGCTGTAGTACATTTTTAAGGTGTTTTCCTGTTATGAATGCTGAAATACTGTAAAATAACAACTATTACAACACAGAAAGCAAGTTAACAACTTAAAATTGTAACTGTATATGCTTTTAAGTTATTTAATATTTATGGTTCCTATAGAGTATATAAAATGACAGTTGGATGTCTAAATGGTAGTAACTTTGCCCATCAAGAAATGTGAATTAAAATACAGCACTAATCAGATCTACCCATCAAGACAATCCTTTTTAGGTTCACTCTAATAAGGAAAACAGTACAGTGATACATAAAAAATCAGCACATCCATCGGTGTTATACTAGACATGCCTGGCCCAAGCTGAGCGAGCCAGACTTCTTACCAATTTAAAGTCTCTTCTTTTTGTTTGTCCGAGTGATGTAATTATGTTGTGCCTATCTACAGCAGAGCAGCACATCATTTGTATATTTTGGCTGACACATCCAGCTTCATTGAGCATTTGTTGACTAGATTAACATCTTGAATAGTTTTGAGGGACATGATGTAGCCTTAATTATGTGTTCCCTTTGTTATTTTATCGACAGGTGTTGCCCCTGAATAACCTGTCCAGAGCAACCTCATGTAGTCTGGCCGGCTCTCATGGGAAGGCAAGAACAGATCACTGGCATTCCCAGCAATCCAAGGAGGTTTTCATAAATTTAGGGTCAACACATACCGCTCTAATCATAGTCTGACATAAAGGAATCATCACATCCTGCACAGGACTGCTTTAACCTCACATCCATATGTTGAGCTTCCCATTTTACATAGGCTGCGCCTTTCAGAGTTAGGCAGGGAGTAACCCACAGGTCCAGAACTTCAATAGTCACACAAAAAGGCACATTCTTCTTCAGCACAAAAGACGCTTTAAACACTATTTCATCTGTACACTTAGCATGATTGTTTGGAAAAACATGTATCAGCTATGGCATCCCATATTTGGTCCTGAGACTTTGGTGAGTGGGGCTATTGGTTATGGACATCTGAACTGCTAATCAGTAGACCTTCTGGTAGTCGGATATTTAAGACTTTGCTGTTATTCCATGGGACATGTACCTTAAAGACATTTTGGTCAAATGAGCAGACTGAATGCGGCAGATTGCTGTGGTATGCTTCAAAGCGGTGACAATATGGGTCGATAAAGGACTGTGAGGGCAGGACCATACCGCGAAAAACTGTTGGTCATCTAAGCTGCGAGCAGATATCTTGGTCTAGGACTGAGTCTCAGCAATTTTTAAAATTTTAAACCGAGAGTTGTCATTTATTAATAAACTCGGCAAGCAGATGTTACTCATGTTCCAAATAAATTTAGATAGATGTTTTCACTCAAGCGTTGGAAGTGGACCGACGAGAGCCAGACCGGATACTACATCTATGAGGGCCACCAACTCTTGAGATCCCCTGCCAGCTAAGTTCAAGTCACAAAGGCGAGCCTTTATTCGTAGCACAGGAGGCTGAGGTGTAGCAGGTGTCCAGCATGAGGATCTGTAAAACCAGCACTAAGCTTGCTGGCACCCAAATTGAGGTACAGAGTATCTCCTTATACACATCACAACGACCTTCACTGTCCCTGATGCCTGTGACGGAATCACTGTGCCACCAGTTTTAAGTTTGAGAATAGTCAGGTTTAGAGGTCAATTCGTCCCCAAGACCTCTAAATATTCAATTTACTGGATAAAATTGCGATTGAGTGCCAGCTATTCTGAAGGGAACTTCGGAGGGAACCAGCTACTAGATAGTTCGATCAGTCCGTCACTCACATACCCAAGTTTGATGGTCGATTTGCATGTCAGAATTGCTACAAACAAGTTTCTCTGGCTTCATTCTACTCAGGCATAGTTCGCCATCTTGCAGGTCCGTGTGCATGCTCTTGTCCAGCCCCACTGCCGATGCAGATGGGATGGATGGCCGGTGCGCTTCCCTTCAGGTGGGTAATAAAATTGTTTATGTTGAAGTGAACAGTCCATATTCTTGTGTAAAATTATCACATAATTCATGTGCATAGTAATAACATGTCATTGTTAATGTAATTAATTGTGTGATTCAATAAACTATGAATTATTTAAATAACTCTACCTTTTAATATAGACAGGGTCTATATCACTTGGCTGCCATGTCACATGAGGAAAATGAGGGGCAAAGTGGGCAATGTGCTGACCTGTACCTGAAGCAATCTCAAGTATCTGTCTGGTTCCACCTGCAGGTGGTATATAGTGTTGCAAAACCTCTGTAGAAAAGTAGGTACAAATGAACCTTAGTTCTCAAAATTTATCTGGATTTAAAAGTTCTTAAAAAACTGAGCTCTTTTAAAACTAAAACCATTTTCCCAATAAGAATACTGAATGGATTAATCTGTTTCCTATCCAGTAGTTCAACATTTTATAATTCATGTATACAAATTTTTTTTAATTAAAAAAAAAAATCAATGAATATGTGTACAATCTTTTTAAGAAAAATAATGAGCACAATAAGTAGACACATTCTCAATGAGAATGTAATCCCTCTTTGACCGCACACAAGAGCGTTGTTTCAATAAATAAAAGTTGGTGAGGAAAGTCTCTCTGCTCCTACTGAACGTTATCTAGTTCTTTCATGATAAGCTCATTCTTGTGGTCCTCCCGCAAACTACTTTTATCGCACTGCCAACATCTAAGCTCAAGGTTTTTCCCAGAAACACAGACTATAACAGCAACAGACTATGCCTTAAAAACTTCAATGTTTCTGGCTGCTACACAGTCTGGTCAAAATGTTCTGCAGGGCAGGTTCATGGCTATGTGAGTCGTTTGACCCAAGCTTTGTCAAGGCAGCTCAAACAATGGAGGATGCTGTAGTGATTTTTCTAGAATTTTACAATATTAGAGGTTACTTAAAACACATCTGAAACACTATTTTGGTGTAATTTTCTAAAGTTCTAAATCAGCTACTGGCCTATAGGCTGAATTAGAGCAGTTGTGTTAGAGGGAGGAACTTGACAGTAAAAAAGAAATTTCTTCACCAAGCTTGTCCTCCATACCTGGAAGGTATGCAAAAGCAATGCCAAAGAAAATTATGAAAATACACTGCACATTAAAGCAGGAAGCTGCGCTGAGCCAAAATTGCTCTTTTCCCCAATCTCATCTTGTGAAGTACATGGTTTCAGGATTGACTATTCAGAAACCTGAGGTTTTTTTCAGAAACTAATATGGTTTTGTAACCCAAACAATTTGTTCCGAAACTGAATTACAGATGAGAGGTGTTCAAGAATTGAGGTTCCACTGAGGTATCAAATACATGGTCAATCAACACAGCAGTGCATGCCTAAGTTAACTGAACTGATGTCAGGGGCACATTCATTTCATTTCTAGCTAGGTTGGACTAGGGAATTTACTTGTTAAGTACTGGCCATATCACCACAAGTTTATTAATAACTCTTTACAATGTTTACATTTAAAAGCTGTTTCTGTGACAATCTTCTTTAATATTAATCCACTTGATTCCATTTGTATTGTAACACTTTTTTGTCTTTTGTCAGTATTATTTCATGTAAAGTTGTGAATTCCCGGGGAAATCCCTGAGAGTCTCCGATTGGGGGGACAAGGTCAGAGGACCAGTGAAACAAGAGGAAAGCAAGATAAGCAGGTCTCGAGTATCCTGTGGTGAGTGAATAGTGATACGAAGAAAGCGTGAGACTTGAACGGAAGGTGTGAACCCAGAGAGGGTAGGAAGTCAGTTAGAGTTTGGACCTGGATGTGTGCGGTCAAATGCGAGAGAACAGCTGAGAAGAATGCAGACTGTCTGACCATGTGTATTTGATCGAGAGCAGAAATGTATCTCTACTGATTGCAGGTTTCGATTGTGTACAAGTACAAGGTACAATTTGTTAGCCTGTTTTAGATGTATGATCCAAAAGGTAATGGCAGAGAGAATCACCGTGTGAGATAGTTGGCAATGTCATCAGGAATCAGCCATATGTAGCAACCACAAGGAAGCGCATGGACAGTGCGGTTGTTGGAAAAGCGAATAAAGATCAATAACTGAGTGTTCGTCGTCTGGTGTATTCTTAGAAACTGTGCACCTAAGAACGTCAATATAGCAATTTGACGAGTTGAGAAATCTTCAGATAGCAGCTGTCTGGTACCAGACGTGTTAATATTTCATATACTCCCAAGATATTTAACAAGTCAAGAGAATAATCTAGGTAATCGGGCTGACAATATAACAATCAAAACAGTATAGGTTCTGTGTTTGAAATTAACAATCACATCTTTATGTGGTTATTGCATTGTTTTGGTAACTGACTACAAAATTTGCAGCTTAAGGACGTTTAACATAAACCCTTTGCTACTTACAGTGATGATGAGGACTAAATTTTTTAAATGTTTATTTAAAACTAAAAATATTTAATGGCTAGGCAATTTATAATAAATAACATAATATATAATAAAAAACAATCATAAAATTACTGTGAGTGCCATATAAATCTAATGCACATTCACACAATAAAACGTTTTTAGAAGTTTAAAGTCAAAAGGGCTGTCTTCATTGCAACAGGTATTTATCCCTTTTGGTTTGGTCTATCTCCCTAGAGCCACCTGCCATGAGCCTTACACAAAGTATAAACTCAAACGCCCAAGCAACAATCATCAGGGGTCTTGTGAACCAAATGCAGCCCATGAAATGAACTCCTGACTTTTTAAAGTACAAGACAAAAAAATGTTTTAACCACTTTGCAATGGAGACCCCATGAAATAGTAATAGTGATCCTCAGGTGCTCTAACATTCTCCTAATGGCTAACTATTGTCAGAAACACACCAAGGAAAAAACCTTGCCATGACAAAAACAGTAAGCCATCCTATCAGCAACGCTGACCAGAAGTGAAAGCATAAATGAGCATAAACAACTCTGTTCAGTGTTGACTTATCAAACATCTTGTAATCTTAGTGAAATATCCATGTATGGCAGCTTCAGGATGCACCCTAACGTCCTCTAGCCTGGATATGGATACAGAGTTATGCTTTTTGGCCGTTATATACGAAATGTGTCATGCGTGGCACCGAAGACAATGATGATGATTTTAAAGTTAGCTGTGTACACAGGATGTTGTAGAACCAACCCCAGCATTGTCAGGCTGCCTGGTTTTACAAAACAACTGTACATTTAGTAGTCTAATGATGATAAGGGTGTTTAAATACATACCTAAGATTGGTTGCTTGTTTCTCTCTGCAGCACTTGCAACCAACATTCTTCCGGCTATTCTGGCAATTTTGCCTGTCTCGAGTATAGGAATCTAATTAGGCTTCACTTGTAGAAATGGATGAACACAGACATAATATAATCCCAACTCTTTCAGTCTAAACAGGGGTTGCTTTTGCTTGTTTTAACAGAAGTTGTTACTTTAACAATTAACTGTTCAGGTTTGAGGGAGTTTGAATAATAACACTATGATAGAATCTCTAATGTAGAGCTTTAGGAGAGAACTAAACACCCTCCAGTGGAAAAAGAGGTGAAGAAAAGATGCTGACATTGGATAGGACACACATTAACTCTTTGAGTCCCAAGGAACGCATCATACGTTCATAGGTTACTGCCTAGAAGCCCAATGAACGCATATGCGCCGATTTTAGTCTCTTTTGACTACCCCTTGGGCCTGTGATGCTAAACCCTCCGGGACTCAAAGAGTTGAGAAAAGCTGGAAACAATATAACTAGAATGTCTTTGCACTGAAACTCACAGGGACAAAGAAATAAAGGAAGACCAAAAACACATGGAGAAGGGAGCTACAGAGTGATGTTAAAAAGACTGGGAGAACAAGGGGAAAGCAGCATTTAATAGTGAAGCACAGAATGACTTGGTGTGAGTTGGTTGAGGGTCTATGCTCCATAGGGGGTTAGAAAGGCAAAAAAAAAAAGAAAAAGAGACTATGAGGCAGAAGACATAAAGTAACAACAAGTACAATGGGTTAAAAATAACAATTGGATGGGGCACAAAAAAGTCAGTCAGTTGAGTATCTATCATATGAAAACCTTACATTTTTTGGCTGTTTGGTTTCACTAAGCAATTTTACTTTCAGTTTATTTTCAGTGCCCCATTGTGAGGGAACAAAAAGAATAGACCCACTACCCCCCAACAAGCATGTAGTAAGAGTCTAACAACTATGTTTCCTTTCAAGTTTAAGTGCATCTGTCTGAGAGGTAAGGAACCAACAGTCTGCCTACAAATAAGCCAGATCTGTACAACAGATGTGCCTGCAAAACTCAGGGTTTGGAATAAGACCAAAGTTTAGAAGTGGATGAGCAACCAGAAGTTCCGACAGAGTTTACAGTCGGTGAAAATGAAGAAGAGGAAGAAGTAAGTGTACAAACTGTGTGTGACAGCAGAAAGTCAGTTAAATAAGGGGAAGTCAATAAGTACGTACAAATGGGTACCACATACTAAGCAATACACAGCTGTCTGGATAAAAACTTCAAAAGTGGGAAAACCTGTCTACCAACAATATTATATAGCATGCAGTGTGATATATCTGGTTCTGTTCTGCTGTCAGGTGCACCACCAGATAAAACACTGCCCAATAATTGTTGGGGGTGGGGGGGGGGGGGCAGGCATTGTTTGATTGTGCCATAATAGTAATTATTATTACACAATTAAACACTTAAGCCTTTTGAGCCACCAGATGAAGAAACATAATGAAGAGGGTGGGATTTGGGGGGGGGGGGGGTGGGGGGGAACTTGGCTTTAATTGTGTTGTTCAATTGCCGAGTAATAATTCTTAGTATTTTAATAATACTAATAATTATAATTATAAGCTGAATAGCAACAACAACAAAAAAAAAAAAAAAACTGAATTATTAAATTTATGAAGAAATTCTTATACTAGATGGCGGAATGCGGAGTTTCTGCTCTGTAACAATTAATGTTGGGGGGGGGGGGGGGGGGGGGGGGGGGGGGGGGGGGGAGGGGGGGGGGGAGGGGTGGGGGGGGAGGGGGGGGGGGGGGGGGGGGTGGGGGGGGGGGGGGGGGGGGGGGGGGGGGGGGGGGGGGTGGGTGGAGGGGGGGGGCGCCTCGGTTCCTCCTTTTAGAAAAAAAAAATTGGGGCTTGTAGGTGCATGACTGCCCCAGGTTTCAGCGCCTTGCCTAATGTAGCATTATCAATGATTGTCGCCGGTACTACAGAGTGTGTGAGCTGTGTTGAGAACCTATTTCGATCTTTGACAGATGACAGAGGCACCTGGGGTATCCGTGTACAATGATTTAGACTCTCAATAAAACGAAAGCGAACTGCGACTGTACTCCTGTCAAATCCGGACGAAGAATAAACAGCCTTGGACGACTTAGTCAGAGTTCTCTCCCTTGGCCGCACTCCAAACAATGATCGGAAAAGCCACAACGAAACAAAGAAGACAGTCACGTCGACATCAGGGCTGCCATTGCTTGGTTGTTTCCCCCAGATCCGGGTATTTTTCGACGCTGCAGGGCAATTCTGGGTGTTTTTTTGGGTGTGTTTTGTTTGTTGGCGTTTGCCGAATTATATGCTTTAATGATCGATAAATTTGCGTGGTTAGGGGGTAGGGGTTAGGGTTAGGGAGTAGGATTAGGGTTAGCGGTAGGGTTAGGTTTAGCGTTAGATTTGACAATTTTGACGCCGGAGTTCCTTATAATCGCGCACAGTCCCATACACACACACAAACAATCGAGGGCCTCTGGATGCTGGTGAAACGCACAATTCGCCAACGATTGGGGGCACCAGTCGCACGCTATTGGCGTCATATTTGGCAGAGTTTCAGTGGCGCCACTCCCACAAACATCATATTGTCGGCCAGTATTTCCAAATCCTACGTCAAAATTTTCACATCTAACCCTAACCCTAACCCTAAACCTAACACTAACTATAACCCAACAACCGCATGATGATGACTACACAACCATTCACAATGCCTCACGAAACCGTACGCAAACCTACACGCAACCGCAGGATGATAGGTGAGTGTGTCGTTTATTTCGTTTGTTTTCCGATTACTGTTCGGAGGGCGGCCAAGGGAGAGAACTCTGACTAACTCGTCCACGGCTGTTTATTCTTCGTCCGGATTTGACAGGAGAGCCGCGATTTTTTATATTTACAAAACCCTCCGAGCAGTTTTAATTTCGTTTTTATATCTTCACTTTAAGTTTGTCTTTTTCTTCACAATAACTGGTGACTTCTTACCGCTAGAGTGGTGAGAACAGGCTGAATTAGTTTACTGACTGATTTTACTCTTCTGTTATCTTTGTTGACACAGTTGTTCTCTGTCAGTTCAATCGATCGCTGTCAAAGTGGCCATTTTGAATAGTTGATGAGGCAGTGGAATGTCCACACCGGGCGGGATCACAGCTCGTTGAAGCTGAAATATGAATCGGTTTCTCTGTAAAAACTGAGCATGCCAGAATTTCATGGTGTTATTTTGTGGGAAAATAACAACAGATATCATTTCTTAATAAAAATGTCGTAAAAAGTTTTTATTTGCTAAAATCTTATGTTTGGTCGAAAATTGCAGGCATCACAGCCTAGCTGTAAACCACAACACCGTGGCAGACGACTGTTTAAAGGCGAACGCAGAAGAAGAAGACGTTAATATTGATTCTGATTCCCATCCCAAAGTAGGACGTAATTTTAAAACCCTAACCCAGCTGTGTCTTCTTCTACTTCTTCTTGTTCTTCTTCTCCCCCTCCTCCAGTTTGTACCTCAGCGAAGTGTCGGTGGGAGATGTAACATTCGTCGATGAGCTCTGTCAAAGCACTATTAAGACATGTTCATTTCTGTAAAGCTGTTTTTAATGCCATCACTCCATATTTCCCGAAGTCTTCCGCTCGCTCTATACCCATTCTCACGTTTCAGTGTGGCTCGCTGTGGTAGATAGTATGGCATTCTTGCTAGGTGTCCGGACCTCTTCATTTGTTGTTCTTTGATGACCTGTAAGACCAGTTTTATTCCTAGCATTCGTCTGATTTCGTGATTTCGTATTCTGCTTTACCTTGAAACCACTAAAGGGTTATAATCAACTTCTCTTTTCCCGTTCACTTAAATTATGAAAAATAATAATGCTCAGCACCACAATGTATAACGGGAGCCATCATAGTGTACTGGCTAGACAGACGCGAGGATGTGTTGCAGAAGGTCGTAGATTTATTCCCTGACAGAGCCGGACTTTCTGCTTTTTAAATGACCTTGGCTCCCATAGGGGGCCGGCGTGATGCCCACATCACTCACCAAGTGCCGATCGGTCTATAAAATATATATCTATCGCTATATACCCAAATACACATAAAGGCGTGGAAAAGGCTACTTTACAGTGAATAACAGTTTGCATAATTTCATCGATTCCCTACGAGTAGTACTTACGTTGCAAAATAAATTGGACCGACGCGATTTTTACTATACCACCCACTGAGTGTGACCAGCACTATATGCTCAGTAAGTCTAATAATCACGCAAGGACTCTGTTAGTTTAGTTATTAAATATATATCATAAACGCTGGTCCCCAAAACAACGTATGATGTATATATGTTATAAAACTAAACAATATGCCAGAGAAAAAATAAACACATTTGCAGGATATCAGGAGTCTCTCCTAAGTTGTTAAACGTCGCAAGCTAGCTTGGTTTCGGCACCAGACATGATTTGATTACAAAGTTATGTTATACGATGTTAAGATGTATGTATGACTAATTCCTTCCTTTGTACACCACCATCGCATCCAATGTTCTGACTTGTATATATTCCCCGTAGGGAAAACAAAAATAGACCCACTGCCTACTCAAAAGCATGTCGTAATAGTCGACAAACTAGGAGCTTCCTTCGAAGTCGGAGTCCATCTCCCTGAGACACAAGGAACCAACAGTCTGCACACAAATGAATCAGATATGTCAAACGGATGCACACACAACACTCAGGTTCTTGAACATGACTGCAGTCCAGAAGTGAATGAACAACCAAAACTTTCCGTCAGAGTTTACAGCTGGTGAACGCGAAGATTTTGAAGAAGACTTGTATATATATTTTGCTTGAGTTTATTAATAAATCTGGCTTCCGCAGGTGCGTCTTCTATTTAGACCCATGTCATACACACCGGCAAAACTTGAGCCAGTAACGGCGGAGACTCCAGTGGCAGGTCTCACACGGAGCCTGGTCAGACAGACGGACCGCTTCGGCGGCCGACACCACCAACTGCAGCCGGCGTTGAGTTCGCAAACCAGATGCCAAGATCTG